AGCAACAGTCCAGTGCTGCTTCTCTGTAGCCCAGGTCAGGCGCTTCTACCGCTGTTTCTGGTTCAAAAGTGGCTTGACCTGGGGAATGTGGCACCTGTAGCCCATTTCCTGCACACGCCTGTGCACGGTGGCTCTGGATGTTTCTACTCCAGACTCAATCCACTGCTTCCGCAGGTCCCCCAAGGTCTGGAATCGGCCCTTCTCCACAATCCTCCTCAGGGTCCGGTCACCTCTTCTCGTTGTGCAGCATTTTCTGCCACACTTTTCCCTTCCCACAGACTTCCCACTGAGGTGCCTTGATACAGCACTCTGGGAACAGCCTATTCGTTCAGCAATTTCTTTCTGTGTCTTACCCTCTTGCTTGAGGGTGTCAATGATGGCCTTCTGGACATCAGTCAGGTCGGCAGTCTTACCCATGATTGCGGTTTTGAGTAATGAACAAGGCTGGGAGTTTTTAAAAGCCTCAGGAATCTTTTGCAGGTGTTTATAGAGTTACGTCGTTGATGCAGATGGTTAGGTTAGTAGCTTGTTTAGAGAACCTTTTCATGATATGCTAATTCTTTGGGACAGGCATTTTGGGTTTTCATGAGCTGTATGCCATAATCATCAGTATTAAAACAATTAAAGACCTGAAATATTTCAGTTGGTGTGCAATGAATCTGAAATATATGAAAGTTTCATTTTTATCATTACATTATGGAAAATAATGACCTTAATCACAATATGCAAATTTTTTGAGAAGGACCTGTATAAAGTAAAGAGTATTGGCCCAAGCACTGAGCCCTGAGGAACTCCATGACTAACTTTGGTGTATGAAGAAGATTTATTATTTACATTTACAAACTGGAATCTATCAGATAGATATGATTTAAATCACTTTAGAGCCGTTCCTGTAATCCCAATATCATATTCAAGCCTCTGTAGTAAAATATTGTGATCAACTGTATCAAATGCAGCACTGAGGTCTAACAGGACCAGTATAGACACAAGTCCATTGTCTGAGGCCATGAGAATATCATTAGTTACTTTTACTAGTGCTGTTTCTGTGCTATGACAAGCTCTAAACCCTGACTGAAACTCTTCAAACAGATTATTTCTTTGTAGATGTTCACGCAACTGACCTGCAACTATTTTCTCTAGAATTTTTGAGATGAAAGTTAGGTTAGATATAGGTCTATAGTTGGCCAGAATTTCCTAATCAAGATCAGACTTCTTAAGTAAAGGTTTAATTACAGCAACCTTAAAAGCTCTGTGGTACATAACCATCCATTAAAGACAAATTAAGTAGATCCAAAATGTGGACATTAATTAGGGGAAATACCTCTTTAAACAGTCTGGTTGTGATGGGATCTAGCAGGCATGTGGATGGTTTGGATGAGGTAATTATTTCTGACAATTCAGAGCTCAACAGGACAAAAACTGTCCAAACATAAATCAGGCTCTAGTGAAATTTTTAAAGTTGCCTCATTTGACAGGGGACTAGAGATAGTAGAAGGAAAGATGGTTTGAATTTTCTCTCTAATTGAAAATTAAAATTCTTCAACATTAGTAGAGTGCCATTTTCGCTCCTGGTTTCTAGATGCCTGCTTTAAAGTAGGTAACTCAGAATTGAACCAAGGAGACAGTTTCCTCTGATTGATTACTTTCTTTTTCAGTGGAGCAATTTAATCAAGTGAAGTTTGCATTGAAGTTGTAAGATGATCAACTAGATGATCTAAGTCACTGTTCTCTGATGCATTACTCTGCAAGACAGAGGAAAACATTGATGGAAGAGATTGTTTAAATTTGGTTACAGCATTTTCTGATAAGCACCTGCTGAGATGAAATTTACTCTCAGTGACTGTGTGGTCATTTAATGTAAACTCAAAGGTTATTAAAAAATGGTCGGACAGAATAGGATTTTGAGGAACTATTACCAAGTTCTTAATCTCTATACCATAGGTCAGAACTTAATCAAGAGTGTGATGATAAGAATGAGTAGATGTGCGGACATTTTGGGTGAAACCAAATGATTATTAAATTATAAAAGGCTATGCTTAAACTATCACTCTCAACATCCACGTGAATATTGAAATCACCCATTATGATGATTTTATCAGTATTTAATAATAAGTCAGTTAATAATTCTGAGAATTCAGACAAAAACTGAGAATATGCACCTGGTGGACGATATAGAACAACTAGTAAAAGTGGCTTTTCTGATTTCCATTTTGGATGAGAAAGACTGAGGGACAGAGATTCAAAAGAATCATAACTAATAACTGGTTTGGCATTAATCAATAATCCTGACTGAAAAATAGACGTTACTCCTCCACCTCGGCCAGTTGTTCTAGGAACATGAAAATTTAAATAATTAACAGGAGTGGATTCATTTATACCAACAAAATCCTCCTGTTGTAGCCAAGTTTCTGTCAGACAGAATAAATCAATATGATGATCAGTTATCAGTTCATTAACTGATAACTGACATGGTAACTCGAAACACCAATGAAAGTAATAAAAAACATCACGGTACTGAGCCGATTGTTTTGATATAACATTTATTGGGATACGCCTTGTGGTTCAGGCTGCATTAAAGTTGATAGAAGATCAAGACCCTTTTCAGGTAGATAATAGGTGGCGGTAGTCCCAAAAACATGGAAAACCATCTTACTGTTGTCAGTTCAGCTAACATTTTTCTTAACACAACTGTATTTTCATTAGTTTTTGAGAAAACAACACCACCTACTGACAACTGCATGAGTAACTGTAATGTAACAGTAACAGCCCTTTGAATAAAGACAAGTTTATGTCATTTAAGGCTTAAAGGGAGATGGTATTGTTTTTTTATTTTTTTTAATAAGTTATTACCTATGCATTTTTCTGTGGTGTTGGACATCAGTTCATTTATCACACAATAATTCTCTGTGGTGGATTTTATTATATGTAATCAAAAGTGAGTCAACAGATCTGATCAGCACGAAAAGAACAGAAACAATAGAGAAATAAAAATAATCAAGCCATACCCTAAATGTTAGCATCAAAACATGTTTTGACTGATGTATGGTCAAATAACTTTCAAATATAAGTAAAAGCCCCAGCATAAGTGAGTGTCTGTCCGTAAATAACTTTGTAAAGTAACTCTGCATACACAAGGACCCAGCATCATGTGTGCTGCTCAGACTGCTGTTTATTTACCAGGATATTTGTCCAAGCAGGAGTTCAGGAGCTCATTTCTGACTGATTAGTCAACATGAGGACACGCTGTTCGACATTAACTGCTCTGGTTATAGTATTTTGTCTGTTTGTGTTATCAAACTCTATTATGCCCAAACCTGGTAAGTTTGCTTTATTCATGCACATAATAAATTTATAATCTGTTCATGTTATTTTTCTTAGACACTCCTGTTAATCTTTACCCAACACCTTTGAAAAATCAGGTCACTGTCCAAAATATTTTGAGTCCTTCGCACCGTTGAAACCATGTCACAGTGACAGAGACTGCCCTGGATCTGACAAATGTTGTGTATTTGACTATGGATCTGGCTGCGCCCCACCTATTTCAAGTAAGTATTTACATAAATGTGCATGCATGTAATTTTCATTGCATGCATGTACGTATGTATCGCATGCATGTGTTGTATGCATGTATGCATGTATGTATGAATGCATATATGCATGAATGTATGTATGAATGCATATATGCATGGATGTATGCATGCATGTATGTATGTATGCATGTATGTATGCATGCATGTATGCATGGATGCATGCATGCATGTATGTATGCATGCATGTATGCACAATGTCAAGTCAGCAGTCTTCCCCTTAATTGTGTAGCCTAGAGAACTAGACTGAGACCATTTAAAGGCCTTTGCAGGTGTTTTGAGTTAATCATCTGATTAGACTGTGGCACCAGGTCTCTTCAATATTGAACATTTTAATATTCTAATTTTCGGAGATACTGAATTTGGGGTTTTCATTAGTTGTCAGTTATAATCATCAACATTAAAAGAAATAAACATTTGAAATACTGTATATAGAAGAGCTGTGTGTAGACGGTCCTATGCGTAAAGTATGGAAAGACAAGTAGCCCATTAATAGCCACTTTTATTACCACATGTCTGGCTATTAATGGGCCAGTTGGCTTGCCATATAAATAAAAACACTTCATCCCCGTGGGACATGTCATCCACATCTCTGCTGGGCAGGAGCGTGTGCACAAGCTGGTGCGCCTGCTGCAGAGGTAATATCCACTCCACAGACTGGGCAACGTCTCCTCACGTTGTATTTTTAATAAATGATCAAAATAAAAATGTGCGAAGACTTTAGACTTAGGGGTGGATATTTGAGTTGCCGGATCTGAGCAAACAGTTGCTGGAACACACCCAGTCAAAATGAGAGAGATTTTATATTATATATAAAAAATAAAA